AGGCCACACTGTGCGGAATTTAAAGTTGCGATATATGAGAAAAAAAAACTAAGAATTTTGAGAACTTTCTAACAATGTATAATACTTTATATGTTTTCTTTACAGAAATATCGAATCGTGAGGAGTGTTGCTCCAACCTAACCGCACTTTGCATTTTTACAAGTTAACATCCACACAGATTGCTCTATACTATCTAAACCGTAAAAGATACAAAAAAAACTTTGTTCGTACGAAAGATGCAGAATAAAATCACGAATAAAATGGTATATAAATGGTTAAGTGTGTTCGTATAATTTTCTCGAGATTTTCCAGTTTTCCTGAAATTTTTTGGTAGCAACTCGCCTGCAGGCCACACCGTTCGGAATTGGAAGTTGCAATATATGGGAAAAAAACTAAGAATCTTGAGACCTTTCTAACGATGGTAATACTTTATATGTTTTCTTTACAGAAATATCTAAACCGTAAGATCACTAGGACCACTAGATGGACTACCCATTATTAAGATGGACAGGATGTAAGATCAATATTAGAACAATTTTACCAATGATAAGCAGTTCTAATCAGAACTTCTCTATAACGGAGAGTTTAAATCTTACAACTTTGCTGTAAAATCGAACTGAATTTTATATTTAATTTAAAAATAAAAAGTATATTTGTGACATTATCTTTATTGAAAATGAATTATATACCATACATAGTAATTTACAATTTAATTCATTACCGTAATATCATAATGTACCAAAATATTATATGAATTGTCATATAGGTTAATAACAATACTTACAACTATGAAAAATTTCAACTACCTTTAATCAATGTAGATAGCTTTTTAAAAAAAAAAATTAAGAAGAAAATCTTAAATATCAGTTAAAATACTCGTCTCATTTTCACTATCTGAAACTAATCATTATGCATGCTTTCATTTTTAACCAATGCTTAAAATTATTATATCACTTTAGAGTGTTCTATATTTTCCATTTGTTTTTATATATTCTAGGTAAATTATTACTACTTAAATACTTTTACTTAATGAAATTATAGAACTTACCTCACATTTTGTATATAATTCCATTTACTCTCTGCTATCATATTTGTCTTAATGTACCATCGCTTCCATTAATAAAATTTTTGATATTTAGCCACAAAACATCCCTCATTTTATTCACTAGTCGAACAGATAGCACATGAATTATAACATCCATCACGTAATTCTTACAATTTTCAAGAATATTAGAAACCTGAAATTTAAACAAGAATTGATTTTAAGTTTATAATAGACATTAGTATTTGTATTTTATTTTTGAATAAGTGAGACAAGAATACTTCAAATCTGATACCAAAATTAAATTCTGTAAAACAATATAAGTTCTTTAGTACGATGTTCTATATTAAAAGGAATTTGTAAACTATGTCTTATATTCAATCTAACAGTTTCTTGACCTCAATTAAATAAATTGTAAATTAAGTACTGTACTATTGAATATAAATATATAGTATACAAATTCAATCCAGGCCAGTTTCAATCTATGTATCCTTTCATATATTCCTTTTTATACAAACTCGAAAGACTGACTCATCTAATGATGTATAAATGTATAAATATATAAATGTATATATATATATATATATATATATATATATACATATACCTACATACAATTTTCAGACAAACTAAGACGACTAGGACACATCTAAGGATGTATCAATCCATACATACATTTATATATTTAATTTCCAAACATACTAGAAAGACTAGAACACATCTAACAATGTACACATCAATATAACACATATATCCGAATTCCAGACAAACTAAGACAACTAGACAGGACACATCTAAGGATGTATCGATCCATATATACATTTATATATTTATTTTCCAAGCAAACTATGAAGATTATAACACATCAATAAAACACATATATCCAATTTCCAGACAAACTAAGATGACTAGAACACATCTAAGGATGTATCAAACCATATATTCATTTATATATTTAATTTCCAAGCTAAATAGAAAGACTAGAACACATCTAAAGATGTATCAATCAATATATACATATATATATTCCAATTCCGTTCAAACCATAAAGGCCAGGATTCATTTACCATGTTTGCAGACATGAATGCTTATGATTCATTTTCATTATGAAGCAGAAACACATGAATGCTATAGAGTTTAAATATTATAGTCAATTATTTTAAATATAATTTTATATAACCTGACGTTTTTGAACTTGTTATAACAGTCAAGTTCAACTATCTGATTCTTTAGGCATTTGTATTATCTTATCTGTTCTCATAGTCATAAATTAGCTTGAGCAGGCACATAGCGTAAAATAGAAGAGTAAATTATGATAATCTGACTATGTCAAAATCAATTTAAAAATAAAATGTGTATCAATTTTTTACTATACTGAAACTATTGCAAACTTAGAGATAGATTTACAAATGCAATTTCCATACAAACGACCGAGGCTAGGTCACATCTAAGGATGTGTAAATCAATATATACATTTATATATTCCAATTCCATACAAACCACAAAGACCAAGATTCATTTAACACGTTTGCAGACATGAATGATTACGATTCATTTTCATTAGGACACAGAAAGACATGAATGCTATAAAATTCAAATCTTACAGTCAATAATTTTGAATTTAATTTTATATGAGTTTTTGTACTTGTTATAACAGTCGAGTTAGACTATCTGAGTCTTTAGATATTTGTATTATCTTATCTGTTCTCGTAGTCATAAATTAGCTTGAACAAGCACATAGCATAAAATAGAAGAGTAAATTATGATAATCTGACTATGTCAAAACCAATTTAAAAATAAAGTGAGTATCAATTTTTTACTGTTACTGTCGGCGAACGTGTTAAATGTGAATAAACAATATATTATATATATTTGCAAATGCAATTTCCATACAAACGACTGAGGCTAGGGCACATCTAAGGATGTATAAATCAATATATACATTTATATATTCAATTTTCATTCTAAGTAGACTAGGACTCATCAAAGGGTGTTTAATTAATATTACTTTTATATATAAGCAATATAAGATAGAACAACACCTAAAGATGAATAATCATTATATATAAAATAATAACCTCAAACTTTATTCACGTGTGCTTCTCCGACGTGCCTAGGTTACCAC